AATTCATATAAATTATTTTTAAAAAGCGTATTGAAATGATCAGTTTATAAATTATTTTAATAATATAATGTATGTTAAAATATTTAAAATAAAAAGAATTATGTTGGAGTTAAATTTAATTCTCTTAAACTTTAACTTTTTTATTTTTTATATATAGATAATCACTTGTAGATGCTCTAGCAAATCTTACTTAATTTTATAAAAACATTAATAAATAATCAAATATCTCACACACACACACACATATATATAGGTGGTTTCATTTGAAAACCAGCTGTTAGTACAAATCAACCTGAATCGTTCATCTAGTCTATTGAATATATGATTTAATAACTATTTTTTGATTGTTTTATAATATAAAGCGTTGATGGTAATAAATGAATGTTGATAATCTTACCTTTATATTCAAATCATAAGAAATAAATTACCATCGTGTCTGTGTGTATATGTGTATATGCACATTCTTTTGTTAACCGTTTAATTAGTACAAACTTCGCTAACCGGGATATCGTCTTTCTCATATATTGATACCGTATTTTAATGATCTCTTTATCATAATTATAAACTTCCCTGATTATATCATTAGTTTGTTTAAAATTTCTTAATTATCTCATTTACTTTGTGTTTTCACCTATGAAATTTGGTAAAAAAAAATTGAAACAACTAATATTCAAACATGAAACGAAAATTTCAACTTTAAACAAAAATCATTGTTCACGTATTCACTTTCTAGTTTCACTTATGAATTTTGGTAAAAAAAAATATCAGAATAATCAAAGTTCATAGACGAAACGACACTATAAACTTTAAAAAATATTATATAATACTTGATTATCTTCAAAAAAAAATATCAAACACCATATTAAACGAAATTGAATCAAGAGGGAGATAAGAGAGATTAGTTCGTGATTATCTTTCAAAAATAAAAGCTATTTATTCTAAAATTGCTTTTTATTTATTTCAATTTAGTTTATTTCCTTTTTAATCACTTTATGACCATTCATTCATATATAACTGTTAAATAATACTATTTACTTAGTTAACAAATAATTGTAATTATATATATATATATAGAGAGAGAGAGAGAGAGAGAGAGAGAGGGGGGATTGGATTCACGTGATACCAGTTTGTTTTCGTTAGACCTGTGAGATCATTTTTTTACACTTAAAACTTCACATGTTGGTCTCACATGATCCCAAGTCTATACATATGTGTGTGCGCGTTTATATATATATATTAGATCATGTGAGACATGATTTTTACACTTGAAGTTTCACAGCAAAACACTGTGAAAGTAACCTTTTACAGTGTTTTTACTGTTGAGATTCGGTTTTTTTTACTTTCACAATATTTTGTTGTGAAGTTTCAAGT